CACTTACAAGCCCCGTGATCCTGATCTCGGCGTCAATGCTGGTAGCAGTGGAAGGGCCAGCTGGGGCAGGGGTGGGTCTGCACCCTTCTAGGGCTGTGCCGGGGTGGAGCCTGTGAACTTGGAGTGTTGGAATTTGTCTACTTACGCCCTTTCTGGGATTTAAACATACCTGATTGCTCGAGACCACTTTTAACCTAGGGCACGCAAAAGCCATGGTGGCCATGTCCCCAGAGCACAACAGGCAGGGACAGATGAGGTCAAAGCGGTAGCAGAATGACCCTGCGTGTGAGACAGAAGCGGTGATATCACCTTGAGTCAAACCCGAAGCAATTTTATGTGTATTAAACATGTTTTTGAAGTTTGCACTGTCACTTGTATGTGCTTGGCCGGATTAAGCTTTGTTGTGATTGTGATAAATAAACTGTTTGACCTCTGTCTGTCACATTGGTTTAGTTGTAATAAATGTCCATTTTTACACCATTGCTGTGTGTTTATATGTAATTAGCGCTGGTCTTTGCAGATGAAAGAAGAGGCTACTCAGTGCTAGTTTAAAAAAAAGGGAAATTTTATTACAGTGCTTAACCTGTTCTTTGAGCACTTTATTAAAAAATGTGTGAGTATACTGTGTCCAAGATTAGTTATGTACATCCATTTAAATTGTACAGAAAGCAATAAATTAGCAAGTTTTTGGAAGGCTTACCAGGTTAAACATGAAATTTATTAAAGTGGATGTTCAATTGATGCGATAGTGCCACTTCATTTGAAAATTAAAACAAACCACATGTTGATTGAGAGAGGGTTCTGGATAATACAGACTCAATGTTCAGTTCCTTACATGGAAGTATGAGCAAGTCAATCTAACGTTCACGATCCTAGTCTCAACCAAAAATTTCTCTGATTAATCTCTTCTCCAGCTTTCTCAAAGAACTGAACTGGTTGATGTTATCAACAAAAGCATGGGGGAAACTTGCCATCTTAGGGCATTTCTTAAATCTAATATGAAAGTAAAGTTTTGTTTCTTATATTTCCTATCTTATGGAGAAGGGGGTGGAAGGGAGCTAAAGAATCAAATAGAATTTTTGGATTGTTTAGGCAAGTGATTGTTGCCTTGAGTGTCTTCAGCTTCACCACTGAATCTTAGTCTTTGACTTGAAGAGGCCTTCCTAAACACCTGCCGTTCCTTTTGAGTTGATGCCATGATGATGGTCACCCTGCAGCTGCCTTTGTCAAGTTACTGTGTGCCATGGGTTGCGCTTGTATGGCTGCTTTGCAATCGGTCTCATGGTTTACGGAAGTGTAACTTGTCAATGATGTTACCTCTTTTTTTTTAATCAGAGATAGATATTGCATTCAACTGAAACATCAGTGCTGAATAGAAGGCTATATGGAATAGTAGGGGTTTATTTTAATCAAAACAAACTTGCAGTGAAAGCAAAATCAGCTGCACTCTTTAGATGATGTAAGAAAGTAAATTAAGCTTTGAAGTTACTAACTAGCACAGACTTCCGTGTTTTTTTAAGAAGTGCTGATACAGGACAGGAAGCGATAGCATCTTTAAGCAGGCTCTTCCATTTCTTTTGAAAAAACATTGTTTAGCACACAGGAATGTTACTGGTAAACTTCAGGGCAATTTCTGATGCACTGGACATGGTAATGCAAAACTGAATCTGAGAAAGACACGCTACCGCCCAAGGACGGAGAGCTGGGAAGTTACTCAGGATGCGTTTCAGACCATCTGCCCTGTGAGAGGGGAGGGCCAGAGAGGGAAGGCCTTTTTGGGTCTGCTTGTTCCTCCTCTGTAACAAACTCCTGAACGTGTGCCACCCCTTCCCACCCGCCCCGGGACTGTGGTTAGCTGCTCCCAACAGGCAGAAAGGGAAACCCGCATGGAAGCAGCCACCAGCCAGAACTCGAGGGCACACTGCTGCCGGGGCACCAGCCCACTTCCTAGACACTGCTGGGCAGCAAGACTTGCTGCCTGCGCTTACAGGTGTCCCCCCCACACTGCCACTATTCCCCTTCTGCCACTGGGAAAACGCCATCTTGCTGTGCTCCTCCTTTCATGGGAGAAGGGTGAGGAGCAGTGCCCGCTCCTCATCCTCACTGCTAAACGAGCTGTTGGCCCGGCCCCATCAGGACGGGCCCCAGCGCTGCCCTAACCAACTTCTAGCAGCTCTGGGTAAACGCCAGCTGTGATCCTTCCAGAACTCAACTGAAAAAAAGAATTTTGAATGCCACTGCTTTTAAGCGGCCACTCTCAAAAACAAAACAAAACTTGGCCAATATCAATTGACTTTATAAGGTCCTTTTATGTGGAATACGCGAAGTAACACACAGTGAGAACAAGCTATTCCTTGCAAATTTAAATCCTTTCTGTGTTTTGCTGGGGCTTCTCCCCTTTGGAAAAAGAAGATTTAAGCTTAACATTTAAGAAACTTCAAGTCTCTTTTTCTCTTCAGAATAAATAGCTCACTCAGCTAATAAGGAAACACAAAACCATGCATGTAACACTACTTAAGATTATGAAGTAGGGAAACAATACTGAAATACATGAACTCTGAAGTTAGAAAACCGGTTGAATCCCAGGTTTCATGCTAACAAATGCAAACTAAATGTCAGATCTACAGCACTCGATTTCTGTGTAATAAACAGACTGCATGGAAAGTGAACGATAACTACAGCTACCGGTCCTACACTGCACAGGTACAGCCAGTAAGTTTGGGTCCAGACCTCAAGGAAAAAAGCTGAAGCTTCAGCCATTCTAGTCGCAAAAATAAACTATATTTAAATTTTTACATGCATCTCTGAGCAAGTCTTTTTTTTTTTTTAATTATAAGAACTTTTTTTTATAAAAACAAATTCAGCAGCTCAGCTTCTTAGATCCCGTTACAAAACCGTGGAGACAAGGAGCCTAATTACCTGTGGAATTCTCACATGGGTCTTAGTTGGCACTTGGTTTCTAATCCCACAGAGGCCTGCTTTGCTTATTTCACCCGGCTGGTCACAGGTTCCACCACCCACTCACCACTTCTGTTTGAGCTCAGTGGCAGATCTCGTTCAGATAACGCTTGGCGATAGCCTGCTGCATGACACAGGATGTACAGCGCTCTATGGATGGCACACATCAACTCTTCCACCCCAGAGGAGAGCCTTAACCAGCAGGCTAGTCGACCAGTGTAAGTTGTGGGAAGCAAGTCAGCACCAGCGAAAGGAAGATGTCATTGGCCTGGTGGTGGTGGTGCATCTCAGCAAGCAGGGAACACCAGTTCAATTCTCCTCCAGGAAACTGAACCAGAGTTTGCCATGTTCTGCACAAGTGACCCAACTAGACAAGTGAGCATCTACGGAAAAATAGAAACCTCGGGGAAAATCTGTCTGTAAGATCTAGTCAGATACATGATGAGAAACTGGTGGTCACAAATTTCTCAAATATGATTTAAAACTTAGTGCTGTCTATCCTTTGAAATACTCCTTTCAAACAAAGTTATTATTTCAAAAGTTATGCTATTAAATTGCAACTCCTACATCTGTTAAGAACTAAAACATTTAATCAAATTAACTAAGCTACAATTCTGCCTACAGTTATGACAATATATAGCAAAAGTCGGGTTTGAACTGAACATCAATATATAGCACTTTTGCTGTATTACTCCATATTGGACAACAGTTAGACATGAAAGAAGGAAAATGTATAATCAGCATGCTAGGTGCAGTATGCATTTAGAAAAGCAAAAATATATATATATTATATCCAGAAGCAATGTTCATTCACTCTTAATTATCCTGGGGGAAAAACACTCTTGCTGTAAAGCTTGAATATTTAGATTTTCTCCGGGCCTTTTTGTTACGTTGTTGGAACCATAACAGATATTTCTGTGGGAGTACTTCATGTCTACTTTAGGCTTCTAACTTAGGTGGTCTGAACTGTACTCTAAAGGCAGGAGCCCCAGCTCTTTGGCAAGGTCACAGAGAGGGAGGTACCTATGCAGACTCTTCAGAGCACCTGCACCTTCGCTGCCACAAACGGCTCTCTCTCCCCAGGTGTGTAAGGACACCCAGGTGCCCAAGTTAAACACCTGAAGTTAAGCAGCATGAAGTACAGTCCATCTAACAGCACCAATCTTTCATTTAAAAACAAAAGAAATATTTGTAAGGATTTCTCCAATTGCAGGTACTTTGCTAATACAGCTGTCATTTCAAAAAGGCATTGTCCTGATAACTTCATTTTTATGTACCCTATTCTCCACCTTGACTGCAGGGAAGCTAGGCAGTAGGGTGCCTTAAACTGGCTGTAAAATAAGCCTAAAAAGGCTTTAAGTCAAGTCCTCCTCTCAAAAAAAACTAAAGTTTTGTTTCAGCTATAAAACCCTCAGTTTCTTTAGCCACTCTGCAACCATCTTGAGCCTTCACAACTACATATACGCATCTTCAGTTACCAGATGTAGGCTTTCCACCCCTCCATCACAGGTTAGGCAGGTTGTTTTCAACTACAAATGGTATGCAACCAAGAGGCATGCAAAGTATTTTCCATCCTCTCTCAAGGATTACAAGTGCATGGTCTCCACTCTTACTTGGGGATTAAAGTACTGAATAAATTGATTGTTTTTCTGTGTACTTCCTGCTTGGTTTTAGTCTACTGCAATCCCTACAGGCAATTAGCTCAGCAGCTCAGTCCGGGAAGAGAGAAAAATCCAACACTTACGACCACAAAGCTCCTACGGGGCGAGTATTGTACAATCAAACAGCGCTATCTTTTAGATCTCTTTTCTCCAACTCATAACAGGATTATATTTACTTTGTCTAGAAAGAGATTTCCCATAAACAGATGGAAAATATAAACAGCAGTCTTCTACACAGCCTTCGGTTTGCCGTAAGCCGTGACGTGAATTTACAGCACCACTGGCTGTTCTTTACTAACTCCTTCCAGGGACAGTAAACACTTAACACACACATAATAACACAGAAATAAGCATATACCAAATAAGCTTTACTTCTCTTTCTATTTGTACTCGGTGTGCATCCAGATGTTGCAGCAGTTCAGAAGGACAGAGTAGCTAGAGTACTTGACATTCACACCTTATATAGGACTTAAACTTTTAATTTTCTGAAGCTTAGCACACAGTAAACTAGGTTCCTTTATTAGGAAGAAACATTTTCATGTGCAAGAACACTTTATTTGAAACTCAAATATATCTGGTGCCCTACTGGAAAGATTTCTTTGTCAACTCTGTATTTGATCAATTAGCAATTTCTAAAAGTAACTCTCACTTTGTTTTGGGAGTTTCACTATTTTTTCCTCTGCTGCTCGATCTCTTTTTACCCCTGCTCCTGGATCGAGAGGAACTCCGACTTCTGCTCCTACTGCGCGTTCGACTATGACTTCTGCTGCGGCTGCGGCCTCTCCTCTTCCTCCCCCTGCTGTGAGACCTCCTCCTTTCTCGACTTCTTGACCTTCCAGATCGGCGCCTTCTCTTGTTTTTGCGGCGATTCTTTTTTCTCTCAGATTCTCCGTTTCTCCGGTAAGAATGATCGGGGCTTGGGCTGCCCCTTCTCCTCGACCGGCTGTAATAGTCGTCGCGATGGCTTGTTCTGTTTCTCCTTTCAGAGTTTTTAGACAACTGATTAGTCCGTTCAGGAGAAATACGTATGTCTCTATTGGCCTCCCAAAATTCATTGTTTGGATTTTTGAATACGTGAAGAAAGTTGCAGTGTTTCCCTCTTGGACACTTCTGCCTTTCAAATAAGCCTGTAACAGATTAGGGTTTGCTTTTTTATGAACCAGACCTGTTAAATCTCTTTTTTTCATTATGTACCTACTGGAAAGAAATTTAATAAACTGATTTTTGCTGCTTCAAACAGAAAAACATGCATCTGACCACCTATCAATTTAATTCAAGCAAGATTATTTTTCAATACGTACTTTCCTTGGAATTAACTTTCTAACAGCTATGAAGGTTTTAGCTTAAAACAATTTTCATAAATAATTTTACTACCTTAATCTAAGAATATAAATATCGGTAAGTCAAATGTGATAGTTCCTGCTAAGAAATGCTGATAGCTCAGAAACTGCAGTTGCTTTTTAAAGAGCTAAATTAGTACTTTCTGTAGTTTCACCTTAAGATTATTATGTCCAAAGCTAGGATCCAAACTTTCTTTTCCAGTCCAAGGTAAATCCACTAGAATGAATCAGACATGTGTGACGTGGTATGAATGTTTCCTTTTTTCCTAGATGTACACAATTAAGTTAGAATATTTGTCTTCCAAACACAAGAAATGAACTGCGACATTAGGCAGATCTGAAAGCTACAGGCTAATTCCTTTTAAGTACTCTTTCAATAAAACTCGTTTTCTTTTCCAAGTGTTTCTGTGACTCACCACATATAGCAGTTTTCCATCTCGTCACAGGACAAAATTCACAATGAAGCTGTCGGCCTGCGTACCATCGTCCACTGAATAGAGCAAGAGCTGCCTGACAGTCCTTCTCCCTTTAACGAGTAAAAATCACACATAGCATTATCATCACACAATCATTTAAGATGTTACATACCAATTTTAGGCTCTCATTACAGCGTGAGAATGAATTACTTGGCTTATACACACAGTGTTCATTACTGGACTTGAGTTCAGTTCTAAAACTTAGTAAGATTGTGAGTACTTACGACTGATACTGGACATACACGTTTCCTCGCAGGTGAGGCTCATAGTTGCAACTGACCTAAGGGGATGGAAACATAAAATTAGCGTAACAGAAGGTTTATGCCATTCCAGTTTATGACAGATCAATATGAACTTACACGTAATTTTCTTCTGAATGCTTCGTTTTAGCCAAATAAAAGGTTTTGAAGGGGAAAAAAAAAAAAGCCCTTCTGGCTTATGCCTGACTATTTCCAGCATTATGCTTTAATTAACAGTGGGACCTCTGCTTCACTTAGTCCACAAGACAGCTTGTACTCAATTGTCTCGCACTTGTCTGGGCCAACCCTACTGTGCAACCGCCAAATCCTACTCTGAAAACAATTAGTAGTATCCTTGTGGGATTCATTATGGTAAGAGGATCTTTAGAACAATTTACCTTCACAGTGTCCCTGTAAGATAAAAGCTGAAGTCACTAGCTTTCACTGTACAGTTCTGAAACACCTTTTTTTCATAATAATTCAGCATTCAAAGAATACCTGAAGTTCTCAAAAATACACAATTTAACTTCTAAAAAGCTGGTTGCTAGTTACAAAGGATTCTGAGACAGGCAGGCCCAAGCAGACTAGAACCCAGTTCTCCAGGGCAGAACTGTGAGCCCAGCCTCTTTGCCGCCAGGCCTCTTCCCATATCCCCCACCGGATGAGGAAAGTGGCTCCTTTCATCACTGAACCCTGACTGACTCTCAGAGAACACAACACCTCTCTGTGCGCTGGGTTAGGCAAGGGCTTCAGACGTAAGAACAAGCAGTCGTATAATTAAATAGCACAGAATAAGCAGCCAAACTTTGAGACAAACAATGTCAACATGAGAACAAGCAAGAATGATTTCACCATGGCCAGTTTTGGATGGGAAAAGCCGTGTGTTTTGTCACGATCTGCCAGATTCTGGAGTAGCCTCCCAGAAAGAACAGAAAGAGTAAAACCTTGGGCTACACTGGAAATGGAAGTCAGCTGGAAGAGGGGTGTGTATAATCTGATTCTGAATAGTAGCAGAGACTTAACTCGGTCACAGCTAAGATCCCTGCAGCTAACACATAATTCCTAAGAATCTCTAATACAACGAAAATAACCCATAAGAATCGTATTACAGTTGCAAAATTACTTCAGAAGCTAAGAAATGCCACACTAAAAGCTCTTACCTCGTTATTAGTCACGGGAACTCAAGTACGTGCAACTAAGCAGTTGCATATAACAACAGCGATACAAACTCGAGGATCCGAGTTTGACGGTAAGACAGCATTTCAACCCACGCTCCATTGGGAATCCCGTCTTCTAGGATGGAGCACAGCTTGCTAATATCCCACAACCCAAAATATGGAGGGGACAGTCCTCCAGACAAATGAAGTTTTCTTACCTATAAAGCTCGTTATACCACTATTGAAAACGCACTTTTTCTACTTTCCTCTTGCTTGAAATGCTAATACGAGCTCAGTTCTGAGGCAGCTGTCAGTAGATGGAAACAAAAGGAGAAAAGGCACTGCGTGCCTCCTGGTGACTGCAGGAAAACACTCCGGAATGGCAAGTAGGAACAGATGCTGCAGTAGATTTTGCTACCAGGAGATTTCCCCATCCAAGCTGCGTATTTGGGGGCAACATGGGACTCAACACACATCATTCATCTCCCAGATCTCCATTTACAGGTCCCTCTTTTTCCCCCATAAGAAATCATCATATAAATGGGAAAAATTCAGGGAAGAACATTCAGCACACCAAATGCAGAAACTAAAGATGGATGACAAATCTCAATACCATTTACCTTTTATATAAAATTCCTCCCACTGAAATATCTACTACCTTTTCAGTTCATTGTCATTTGATTTTATTTTATCCAACCAGTCCTACAATGGCATTGTTTGGGTGTATACTCCAAATACATTTTATACCCCCACTATTTCAATCCTTAGGCACAAATACAATAGCCCGGCCCGGATATATTTATATTGTCTAACAGTCTTAGTGGACCATCTGGGGCTTATCACGGGCTAAGAAGGGACTGAGAGGTAAGTGGACTTGTTGAGCAGTACGAATAACTTGCAAGGTAAAAGCACAAGCTTTTCTAACAATTCAGGGGATGGGAGAGAAGATTCATCCAGAGTAAGACCGTGCTCTGTAGCAGCAATGACGAGTTTACAGGGGACATGAGAGATGCCGAGTTTGCTGTAAGGACGCTGTTCAGTTCTCTAATGTAGATGGGATTTAGCTGGGGCGTGCTGGACAGAATTCCTGTTAAGGCCAGTAAAACACAACTTACAGGGTATACGCTACAAATTTAACAAGCTATTACACTCAGCTGCATACCTTGAATTGAACAACCTTCCCCACGTTCTGAAACTCAGGGAGCACATCCTCGTAGAACTCCAGGAACTGCTGGTAGGTCTCCTCATCACTGTACTCGAGACTCGCGTCTGTGTCATAGTCATCCCTCCGGCACTGCTCCATGCCGAAAGTAATGAACATCCCTCGAACGAGTAGTGTCTTACTAGATGTTGGATAGTTATGCTTGCGAGAACACCTGGGCATTTGCAGTGAAGAAGGGAAAGTGAAAAGATCAGCACTTTCAGTAGAAGATGCACTTGTTGAAACTTCCAACATTTCCCATTTTGAGTAACAGCTATTACAAAAGAAAATCCATGAGTGGAAGATGAACATATTTCAATTACCAAAACGAATCTTTTGGAAGATTTGTTTTAACAATTGATCTTAATGCTTTCTGCCATGCATAAATACACTCTTGCTTAAAAAAGCACATCTGCAAAAGCTATAGATACCAGTAACGTAGTTAGAGCTGAAGTAATTTCTTTTAGGCTATTAGGGTTCAATGTGTTCCCCATTTCTGAAAGGCTTTAGAGGAAGACTACTGACAATCTTTTAAGACATTTTAAAGCAAGTCCCTGCTCTTCTTTCTGCCAACTGAATGACTTTTACTGAAGTTGTCCTCACCATGTGGGGCATAGGGAGAGGGAGCGAGGGAAGGAAAGCATGTTTAGACCTGAAGTTGGATGAGTATGAGATTGATATTTTTCCACTTCTAAAAAAGTCATTCTTCTAAGTCTTATCTTAATCTGCATCATCTTGGCAGCCATAAAAGTATTAGATCTCCCTCCCCATCCATCATGTTTATGATCTCCATTTCAAACAGTTCCCTGAGCAACCAGGTCATGCACTCTCCAACGCATTTCTCCTTTTCATGACACAATCAGAAAAACAGTCAGACTAGTCTACTCTCTTATTTAGCACTGGCAAAGCACAGACAAATTGGAGGGAGGTCAGGGCTCAAAACGGGCAATTACAACCTAGACTTCAGATACAAAATTTCTTTCTGCATCAGTCAGAAATTGACTCTCACTTTCCAGTTGGCACCTCAGACTTCAAAAAACAAACAACAGAAAACTGCAAAACCAAAACTAAGACCAGAGACAATTAATTTGATGGTGGTTTGGGTTTTTTTTTAATTTTAGAAGCTGCCCCATTTCACTGTTCTATTTGAATGACAGAACTCCAAGTGTTATACCCAATCAATATTGTCTGTCCACAAAATGAACACGATACATGACAGAACAAAAGGAACCACAAGGAAAATGAATGACCCAAAATCCAGTATTCCCACAAAATATTAGTATTTGAATTACTGGGGAATTTGTGAACTCAGCCAGTTTTAGCTTCTTCAAGACACAGTGAGCTTTGACAAGATTAAACAATTTTTCTTCTGGTAACATTAGCTTTCAATTTTTCACCACTGTGGTCCATTTCAGCTTCCAACCCATTCTTCCAGTCCTAGTCCTAGCTGTATCTCTGTCATTCAACTTATGGTCAACACTAGAGGTTAAAACAACCAGAATATGAAGGAAGTAGGTACATGAGGAGGAGGAAGGAAGATGAAGGAGAGGCAGCTGAGATCAACAACTACAGGTGAGAGAAGAAGGGCAGAATATGATGTATCTCAGTATTTATTTACCAAGCCTATTCATAGTTCAAAGCAAAACTGATTTTTAACCAATTAATAATTAATCTGAGGAGGTTACCTCCATTAAATACCGCTGAAACAGAAACACTGCAATGATTACAAAGAACTAAACATTTGAAAAGCAAAAACGCTGTCTGCAGTGAAATAGCTGGCCAAAGCTTTATTTAGGAATTCAACACATATTTCAGAATAGAAAAAGGATGTGGACTTGAAGCTTCCATAGAGTTGAATTATCACATCATTATCCACAATATACATCACACTAAACCAAATTACTTCTAGGCTAAAGAAAACCACACTAACTGGACCACACGTTTCTGTGATACAAGTCAGTACAATAGCCTTACTAGTTTATGCTGAAGATTGATGTGATAAGTATCAGGGTCCTGCCCTGCTGAGCTATTGTTCCTCCTTAACACACACAAAAATTCAGAGGTTTACTAGATGGGTCATCATCTTTAATGGTCACAGATGAACTTGTACTCCATGAACCCATTTATGCCTCTTCTACGTCCGCTAGCAACAAGTTTCATGAGAGAAAGCTCGTTGCTTTTTATTTTTTTTCCTTAAAGCTGGTAAACAGTCAGGGACGCTTAATTAAACTATTTAATAATAAAGGCAAATAATCCTTCCCACCCTACTCATGAGTTGAGTGTTCATCTACCACAGAGCTCTTCCATCACCTCTTTGAAAGCAGAGGCAAGACTAGTTAGCCAGTCCTCCTACAGAAGCTGTTCATCTTGTCCTTCTCTGTCCTTGCCTTTTACTATACTTTCCTTCCGAGATAGGGCACCCGTAACAGTCTAGGAGAGCCAAGAATGAATGTATCACGCACGTAAACAGTACACAAACAGGAGAATTCTGGAAGCTGCACAACAGCTTTCCCAGCTGTGCAGATGTACCATAACTTGCGTTAGCTCATTTGAAATTTGATTTTATTTTTTCAAATGATGCAGCATGTGCAAATTAGACAAGATAAGAAAACAACATCTGACATATCGGTCCTGTACTAGTAAGAGAAATCAAATATATTCTGTCTGAATATATCTGTGCATGTATCAGAGCTGAGGAAAAGTCAGTTTGACCAATGTAACCAGAACGCACTGCCAACAGCAGGCCATAACAACACACAGTTCAATTCCAGCCAGGCAACGCTTCTGCTCTCACTGTCTAGCTCCACCATGAATAACAGAACCATATCCAAATACACGAAAGCAATCTGTATAGCAATTTTTCTTACGTTTGTATATGACCTAATGAAGTTGCTTCCCTTTCATCTCTCCAAAACACTTCCATAATGGTAAATACTCAATTGATTACCTGTCTCCAAATCGGCAGGAACCCGTTTTAATATAGAAAGGGCAATTCGCTCTGTCCTTCTCTGTTCCTATATTCTCTGGGGGCTCTGGGTTATGCCAGGTCACACCATTCTCCAGCTGTGGAAAAAACATTAAAATACACAGAAGTGAGAAAAGAATAAAGAAACGTAATGTCAAAATAAAACCACCAAGTAAATCCACAGGCAATTACGAGCGCTGAGTTACTACAAAGCAAGCTGAACCTATTTTAATCATTGTTTTACAAAGCTGCCCCGTGCCTTGGGTCTCTGGTGATGGAAATCTCTTTTTTTGATAATTGTTCGGCTTTAAAACAAGTCTATATTCATGACTTCTTTTTAACAAAAATAAAATGAAATCACCAAACTGGATATTTTCTTTTGCTAAAGGAAAAGCTTCTTAAGATTTTTATAACTAAAAGAGTTGCAATATATTTGCCCCTCAAACAGCAATTTCATTTGTTATCTACAAGAATTAAAAATATTGGGACAGGTTCTTTCCCTTCAGCTAAGCCCATACGTGCTTACCTCCAGCACCCGCGGAGCAGTGCTTTATAGCCCTGGCAGATAGAAAGCCAGAACTATTTACTTATTTGTCTCTGCAACAACTCACAGCTCAGTAAAGTTATTATTGCTTTTTATGCGGCCAGAAAAGCCTAAAATAAAAGTAACCTGCCAAAGGCCAGAATTAAAAAAAAATAAAAATTCATAGTTAGCACTGGAAGTAAAAGTCTCCATACTGATCATCTCGGGCCATTAAGATTTCTGTAATTCAAAATGGGATTATCACATTGCAAGCCTTGACTGACTACAAACAAAACACACATTTTAAAAAGGGAATTTACAGATCTCTTGGTTAACAAAATTAAGAGCTGACTAGCCTAAGTTCTTGTTTTAAATCAACTGAAAATTTACAAGCAGCATTTGACCCTGCTACCAGTTCAGTTCGTGACTCTCAGCCATAATTTTCTTTCCACAAAACAGCACTATTACTTCCGCAGTAACTAACTGAACCCAGAAATGATACTATACCACATTTCTGCCTATTGCCTTGCAGAAGTGGCTGCTAATACATCCTGAGCTCTGGGCAGGTAATAGTTCAGAGCATTTTTCTAGGCATATTATGAAATAAAGAGTTGGATTCCCTACCTAAACAACTGTTTAAACATAACTTGGAACTGAATGCAACTCCAATGCAGCTATGGCAATCAACATACAATGGGTTAACTAGGTTAAAACTTAATTTTCAGACTCATGCAGTGGTTTAAGCAGAGCAAGAATCTTCACAAGTTTAACCATATGACAGGGATAAAAAGCCACCTTATTCTCTAAGGCAACAGGAAGGATTGAATTAATCCTCTCTAAGATTCAAATGAAGACTGAGTTTTCTTTACTACGCACTGCCAGCTACAGATCCATGCTCTTCCAGGCACACAAGTGGTCAGCTTCTCCCTCTCCCATCTTTTTTTTTTTTCCTTAAGGATTTGTGCCCTTCTTTACTGCTGAATCCTGTTACTTAGAGCTTGCCATCTGCTTAAAAAGACAAGTTTGTCTTGCCACCCAGGACTGACAGATTTACTTAGAATTCTAATTCACAAATAAACCATCACGCATAGAGTTTTTTAACAGCACACAGCAGTATTTCCAGATTGATTTTGACTCAGATCTCCTCAACAGGAATAAGCATGCACAACTGCACTGCCACCAACCAGCCACAAATATGCTTAATTATGTTTCACCCAGTAAATAATTGTTTACAGCTCATGCAAGCCACTACATATTCAATTTATTCAAGTCATTAGATTCTTGAGAGCAGATGGACAACACGCCAGAAGGCAAACACTGGATGGCAATTAAATTACTTCCAGTTCTTTTTCAAAAAGTCTCTGAGCATACCTGGCTTTCAGCTTGATCCAGCATCCTCTGCACAGCTGCCTACAAACGGTGCAAACACAGGACTAGTGAAAACCCTGAGGACATGCAAAACATCTGGTTTCTTTAGTTAAGAACCCAATTTACAATACTCAATGATTATGCATAATGAAATTTTGATGGAGTTTGCTTTAAAAACTGAACTTTTACTTTTGCTCTGTAGCAATTCATGTACTACAAAGTTATTAAAGGATACATCAGACAAGACCCTCATATAGATGATTTTCTAATCTAAATTCCAGACAATTTAAAGAGTTTAATTTTCTTCTTTAAAACTATCATTGGACTACTGAATACTTAAATACATCTCCTGCTTTAGTACTCAGTCTGGTTAAGATCATAATCATATAGTTGCACTAAACTTTTTAACTTAGAACATTCTATGTAACACAGAGAAACACAATACTTTGTGAGTCTTTGTTAAAGCAAAACATATAACCATTAAGAAACCTTAATATAATAAATTCACTTTATCTAGCCTTCCAAATACAGGAAAACAATGAGGATATTCTTTCCCTTTCTTCTTCTAAGTCAGCTGAGCAAAACAGTAGTCACTCTCCAAACCCAGCTGGAAATTAGTTCTAACAAATTATTCTAGGAAGTTGCAAGAAAACAGACATTTAACCATAACCAATATAAGAAAATATGCTAGCACTGCTATAATTTGGAAGAGAATTAATTAAATTTAAAAAGAGGAAGAGCTAACAAAAATTAAATAATGCAATCCAAGATGAGGACTCAGACAGCATCTGGTACTAATCACCAAGTATGCCAGATATTATCCACCCTATTAAATAAAAAAACCCAACACAAAACAACAACCACCCCAAACAAAAACGCACCGAACCAGAAAATCTATTTTCTCATCTGAGGGAAAAAAAAAAAAATAAAAAAATCAGTAAGTCAGAACTTGAATAAAGAGCTGTTTCAAGAGACAGGCCCAATCAACTGAACAACTTTCCATTGCTGAAATGGGTGGCTCCACTCCCAGCTATATACTCAGTTTCCTTCTGGGTGCCTGTCACTGCCCTCCATGAGCCAATTAAACTCACTAAACCCCTAAAACAGTAACTAAGAAAAAACCAAAACAAACCAACAACCAAACGAAGAAGAAAGCAGCTTCCCTCTAGTTCAGGAAAACAAATTAGCCCACTGAGGGCCTGGGGAAACCCAGACACAAAGAGAGGGAAGGAACAAAATCCCACTGTTATGGTGGTTCAACTCTCTTAGAGCTATATCTCAACCTTACGGATGTGACCATCATTTTCTCTCCTTACTCTGCAAGAGAGAAATGGACACTTAACACAAGAGGAAGTAAGACAGGAAATACAACAACTGCTGTTCTTTTTCATTCCTCATGTAAGCATTACGTAATCAGTGACACAACCAACTATTAAATGCAGGAGACAATACTGTTTGCTCATGTCTCTTCTCCAGCTGTGCCTACCAGACACAGTAGCAAGACACCTCTCAGTGAAATGACTGGAATCTTTTGGGAATGTGGAGAAGCTAAAACGACTGGATCCTAGAAAGCTGCAATCACCCTTTACTGGCGATAGGCCAGTCCTCACGTTGGATTTCTGTACAGGACATCTTACATCCAGGTCATTCAACTTCTAAAACTTAAGAAGAACGCATTGTTAACAGAAATGTTATCAATTACTAATATCGTCAGTATAATTCTTTTTCTCCACCCAAGGAGCTCTGGAAAAAAAGATACGTCCTGTTGGATGAGTCAGGTAAAGAAGAGCTGTAATATATCATTTGATAAAGAACTGTGTTAAGGAACAGCAGCAATGTAATTCCATATTCCGTATCCTCATTAGGCGTCTTCTTCAACACTGACCGTGTTCAACTGGGACATGAAGTAAGGATTATCTTTAATGCATGATGCAAAAAGTGCACATATCAGAACCTGCATTCACACTGTGCCTTTATATTTAACTGGTATCAAAAACTACATATGATGAACAACCAAACGCGTTAAGATTAGTTACCCTACTAGGTATATGGATTCACTACATCCTCTCTAACAGTGAAAAATAGTTTCAGCAATTTAGACAGAACGAAGAGAAGAAATAACTAACACCTTTATACATTTGCTAATTAGAGTAAAATCCCTCTTCAACATCCATAGTTGAATGCGATAACGTAAGAGGATATGTAACACGTTTATCCTCCCACAGCCAGGAATCACCTCTCTTTCTCTCTTCTCCTGTTGCTTCTGTTGTGCCACTTCTCTCTCTTTTCTTTGCTGCTCTTCCCATTCTTCTCTGATCTTCCTCTTTATGATAAAAAAAAAAAATTAAAAAAATTATCGAAGCAAACAAACGCTTTGTAATCAGTCAAATTCAAAACTATCATGTTGTATTAGAACTCCTTGATCATTAAGTTTTCATACAGTCATAAACAACTAAATCTCTGGACAAAAACCCTTTTGAAGAGTTGTTTTTCTTTTTTTCCTTTTTAATTTTGCTCTTCTAGAATGGAAGAAAGAAGAGTTTACGCTTTCAAACATACCAACATCAAGAAAACTGGGTCCACTACAGAAGAGTAAAAGATATTGCACGAAGTCTACCTTATTGCCAGACACAATTGTAACACTCGGATTATACATCACCTCTTCCTCTTCTTGACGTTTTCTTGCAGCCTCTTCTTTTTCTTTCTTAAGCTTGAACTCCTCTTGGGCCTTTTCTTCTCTCAGTAACCACTGCTCATGTAGTTTTTGTCTACCAAGGAAACCAGATATCACTCAGACAAAATTTAATGACTACCCACAACTGATGCAATTGTCATGCATGCAATTGAAATTCTTTAGTTCAGCACTAACTACTGTTTATCTGATCTTCTTTAAAATGGAAAATTCCACAGGAATCATTCGGGCTTTAGTGAAAAACGGTGTAGCCTAAAACATACAAAAAGGATTCTATTTTACAGAATATATTGAAACTTTTCAAAGTATCAAAACGGAACTGACTACAAATGTTTCTACTGCATATACGCCATTTTCTAGATTTTTCACCTTTCTGCCTCAAGTTTTTTTTCTTCTTCTTCTTCTTCCTCCTCTTCTTCCAGTTCCTCCTCTTCCTCCTCAGATACTGATTCATCTTTTTCTGTAGCTTCTGAGAAAACACACAAACCAATGCATCTAAATAAGTGGATGTTATAGTCAGCAAAGATAAACAACATTATATCCTTTTAAAAAACTAAAAAGAAAACAAAATGAATCACTATTAGTTCCACTGACAATACAAAACACTTCACAGTTACCTGAGTCTCTTAGCTTGGCAAGTGCCTGTCGCTTTTTTTTCCGCTTTTCTTTCTTCAGAATAGCTCTGTATTTTTGATGGCTGAAGATGAGAGAGTGTTATTTACGTTAAAACAGCCAAACAAAGGATTTTTACTGTCGTACATGCACTCAATTTACATCAGCAGTACATAACCCCCCAAAATGCAAAATTAACAGCTATTCACATGAAACAGTAACTCTACAGAGGCACCTGACATGACACGATTAGGGAGAAAAAACTGGGGACCTACCACCCTATAATTCTGGCACACTTTCCAGCACGTTCTAGTCTTCTTCTCTTTTACAAGGTATGAAATTTTAAGTCCCTTCCCCCTTGATATTCTCTACAGGCAGCAGTCTTAACGTACAGGTAACAAAAGCACATTTAACAATCACTGCAGATACTGCTCAGGTCTACTCTTCTGCTACTGAAGCTTGGCCAGACTCATCCTTGCCTGTCCGACAACTCTGAAAGGCTGCCTAGAAACAGCACCACGCTTTCATTATGGTTAAAACTCCTCCAAGTATACGAAAGCCTTTTTGTATCAACTCCTTTTCTGCCATTTTTCATTCTAGCTCTCTTCTTTCTAGCCAGTTTGTAATGGAAAAATAGGGAGAAAGGATGATCTTCATCTCTTGTCATTCTGCCACACCAAATATTGATGGGAAACCAAAATCTTCCTGTTCTGGAGTATGTAATTTTAAAAGATCCCATAGGTATAACTCACAGCCAAAACTCCACCCACATCTCTAACCCTTTCTCTTCATAGTTCCACACCACCTCACCATCTGCACACCTGTGCATGTCATCAGTTACACTGTGGTGGTTATCCAGGCAGCAGAGCGCTTGCCCTCAGAGACCAACGCCTGACTGCAGGCTCTGCCCGCATCTGAGCCTTCTACCTCTGCTCAAGCAAGCCCGACAACTCGTCCTGTAACATCACCTGCCTGAAAAGAATCTCATCTGCTCAGCAGGTGCTAGGGCTGGCAAGCGAGGACACCTCCTTCCCAATTCCCCGGCTTTCTTAGGTGCTCTTGAAGCCCAAGGACAGAAGAGAAAGAGCAACTCCTCTCGCTTCCAGGCCACAGCAGCACATAAGGAGACAGGCAA